CTGGGAAGTGCTGTACCATCCACCATACTCCCCGGACTTAAGCCCCTGTGCCTTCGAGTTGATTCCTAAGATGAAGGAACCGCTTCGTGGCATTCGCTTCAGAACTGTTCCAGAGATTCTTCAGGCAGTATACCGCTCCATTCGAACTATAACACATCAGGCGCTACTAAAGGTATCCTACGACTTCCACATCGCTGGCAACGGGTTGTACACAGTGCTGGTGGCTACACTGAAGGGCAGTAAAACTTCGAAACATGCATCTATTTTGTATCAGTTGTAAATAAATAGTTGCCACTATTAAAGTTCCAAACCTCGTATATATATACAGANCTCAGGAAATGGGACTGGGAATGTGGCAGGAGGTTTCAACTGGTTCGGGCTCGTGTTCAGTGGCGACATATTCGTAATATCGCCGCTGAAACTTCGGTGTCTACAACCAGTGTTACTTATGACTTACTTCGTTAGTTAGTTAATTAGTGGCTGTATGCAGGTACGTGTTTTTTGTTCTTCATAAGAAAGCTCTGTTAAGAGAAAATATGAAAAGACAAAGTTTCTCCCTGTGCTTAACTAATTAAGCATTATGCTGTGAAGACGTATGGGGGAGTGGAGTTATATTCCACCATTCTTGACCTCGGCACTAGATGGAGGTGTGTGTTCAGCTTCAAGTCCCTGCTGCTTTACTGTCGCTGAAGATCTCTCTATATATCCTTTGGATAGAAGGCTGTGTGGGCCCTAGAGCCAGTCTAGATGCTGTGGAGTACAGAAAAGTATCTTGTCCATACCAGGGAGCGAAACCCGGCCGTCCAGCCTGCAGCCTGTTTCCACAGTGAAAGCGCTATCCCCGTGCATTAAGAGAACTCTCTTGCTGCTTAAACGTGATGCAAATCGTCATCATTAGCGACACAGCCCTTTTTGAGGAATAGTCTTCCTTAGAAAATTCTGCAAGATTGAAATTAAATTAGATCATCAGGGTTTCACTTCTTTGGGTTTGAGACAATAAATTTTACTGAGCTGTGTCGGCAGTCTTACATCCAACCCCCAACCTGGAGGACCAGGTCTCTGTATTTACATCCCCCAGTGACAGGGTGGCTTAGTTATACCTCCAGGCACCGGGTTCACTTTCCGTCGCCTTCTATGACTCGGAAGGCTACAGTGGAGGTATTCTAACCTACCTCCACACGAGTAAATATGATGTAAATACAGATAACATCTAACAATCAGAATTCCTCCCTCTCTCTTCCTTTGCTCCCACTTTGGAGCATAATCAGTTTAATGATTATTTTACAGACGGTAGGACTCCTTGGGCGGGTGATCAGCCTGTCGCAATGCCTCTACCTAAACATAGGGCAACACAAACAGAATAAACGCATACGCACACCAAACATCCATGCCCTGGGTGGGATTCGAACCGACGATCTCGTCTTCCGGGCGAGTGAAGACAGTACATGCTTTAGACTTCTCGGCTACCGTGGCCGGCAACAATCAGATTAATCCTTCGTAATCCACAGATGTATATAAGACTAACCTGTCTGAGGATGTGCTGAACACTATGCAGGAAGCGACCTCTGCAAGAACCCAGGAGGAAGTTGCGCGGCATCTCAGCTGTAGCTTCCTCCGTGGAACCCATGGGACGGATGCCTTCCTGACAGCTCCGTAGGAAGAAAACGTACCTCCTCGTCGTAACAATTTCGTCAGGCGAAATAGATCCAAACTGAATATGCAGCCTCGGTGCTTGCACCACCTTGTGCAAGAGACGCTGCACAGAAATACTGATGTATTGGTTTCTGCATGTGAGGAAAACCACAGTAGTTACATGCTAATTTCTCGTCTTATGTATGTATTTTCAAGAAATTAATGTTTGCTTTCGTCACTTTAAAAATTTAGTGAATATTCTGGTAAGCACAGTTTAACATTTCTGCCCCATTCGCTCGTTTCAGATAATGGATAATATAGTGTAATGAGCATATATAATTTTTACGGTCAACGCAACAATATTTTATTATTTATTTATTTATATAGCACGCACTACGTGTTTCGACCTCGAACGGGTCATCTTCAGGTGCTGCAATTTTCTCACTTACCATTACAGAACCATTTGTCTAAATGGTTCGTGCAAGTTAGTTTCTATTCAATTCACAAACTAGACAAAACTTGGACTAGACCTGGGTTAAAATTAACAATTAAATACAATAAAATAAGAATAAAAATCAACATAAGAATCGTACATGTGATACAGTCGTGCTATATAAATAAATAAATATTGTTGCGTTGATGGTAAAAATTATACATGTTAATTGTATATACGCAACACGATGCAATCTAATAAAATAAAAAATAGATAAAGTAAGCCCTATGGGAGAAGTGTGTGTACATGAAACACTACTTATTTCCTTTCTTTCTAAAACTTGAAACACTCGCTCTGAGAGAAATATTTAACAAGATACATGCAAAATGACTCCAAGATGAGTCCAGAAACGCACTCTTTCTTGCATTGGATGTAGGATTTCAGGTTCTCACAGCTCTGGTTATGGACAGTTATATCTTATGGGATGTCACACCGTGTGGCCTCTGCTGACTGCTGAGTGATGGTTCCTTTCTTGGCTTATTCTTTGATCCTGAAAATGAAGGTGACATATTCCTCCGAAACTCCGGTTGACTTTCAACTGACCACACGGTTTTATATCCCAGAAGATACAACTGTTTTTAGAATTGGAATGTTCTGACAAGTTTTAGTAAAACTGCTCAATATACATCTTAAGGAGACTCATCTATTCTAGGAATGTTGCAAGAAGAAAGACTGAACAAACGGATATTTCGAAATTAGTCGGCATATTCTTGCAACTTGTTGTTGCGAAAGCGCCAAAAATTAGTTCCCTTTCTTCAGTATTCGATATAACTAAAAAAAAAACGAACCGAGTGCATGCTACTAGACATGCCCAGCATGTGCTGTAAAGAATTAATTACCTTAACATACTCAGTTTCTGATTCTGGCTCTGGCTTTGCCTCCGGCTCAGGGACCAGTTCGACCACTGCAAACAGATTAACAGGCATGTAACACGCAACCCCAACATTACTGGCCCTCTTCGTTTCCCGTTCTACTGATGTGCGTCCTGAAATTTTTAATGCTAGTGGGGTGGGACTAAGTCCCTTGCACTGTGGCCACTTCTGGCCTACTGTACCAGCCCCAGATGATAGGTGAGGATGATTGTGGAGCAACTGGTGGAATGGAGGTTGGCAGGGGAACCGAAGTACTCGGAAAAATCCTGCCCCACCACCACTTTGTCCACCACAAATCCCACTTGACCAGACCCGGGACCGAACCCGGGCCGACGCGGTGGAAAGCCAGCGACTAACCGCTTGAGCTATGGCGCGGCTTTGCAACCAACTAACTCTCTGACGTTATACGAGTAGAACCATATTCACCTAGCAAGTATTCGTCCACTGCGCCTTTTGAAGACCTCATAGAAGTAGTTAATATATCGACTTCATTGTACGTGTAGAAAGTCTTTAATTGGTGTTCAGATGCAACAGAATATCTGAATAAGTAGCATTTGTTCGAATCCCGGGGTAATTCTTTTCTTCTGTTACTGCATTTGTTGAAGTTGTAGAGCTCAATTGGAAAGAACATAAAAAAAATCTCGCCAGTCTCCGCCAAATGAAATGAGCATTTTTTTTAAATTCAAATATTGATACAGGATGTTCTGCAGTAGTAACGGTAAATTTTGTGAACAAAGAAGTAGCATGTTTCTTCTTAACCATCAGTTAATTTGTAACTTAGCTAAAAATTGCATAAAAATTATATAAGATTTATCTTTAAAACTACGATTCTGAAAAAACACTCCTTATAGTCATATAAACCTGTACGGCTTTACCTTTTATTCTCCGTAAGTCTCATTAGCGCGATGGCAGACCACAGAGAAAAACCGAACTTTAGTTTATATTTCCAGAAAAGGTCGCGCCTTAGCTCAGGCGGTTGGTCGCTGGCTCCCCACCGCAGCGACCCGGATTCGAGCCCGGGTCTGTTCATGTGCGATTTGTGGTGGACAAAGTGATACCGGGGTAAGTTTTTCTCCGAGTACATCAGTTTCCTCTGCCAATCTTCATTCGCCAATTGCTCCACACTCTCCATCATCTGGGGCAGGTGCAATAGGCCAGCAGTGGCCGCAATACCTAGTGGACTCAGTCTCACCCCACTAAGAATAATACAAACCAAACAAAAATAATCATAAATTTCCAGCAATGAATTGGAGCTTCAAAATCTCACACAAGGGGATTAAATATGGAAAATATTTTTATGTGCAAAGAATCGACCGAACTAACTACAAACGTTCATATACAGAGAGTTAAGAGAAGAGACACAGGGTTTGAGGGGTTATAGTACTCACTTAAATGAATAAAAATATCCCATTCAACGAACGTCCAGAAACCAGTGTCTGCTGAGGTATGAGCGATGCTTGTGTGGTCTCTACAGCAGGTACTCTGATTGCCATGCAGTTCGACGGTATAACCCCTCAAAGCTTGATGGCGTCCCTAGGTCGCGTGTGTCAAGTTTCTCGAATACTCCATGCTCCTATGTCTGGAGCTTGTCTATGCTTGAGATTAGGAACTACAGCAATACTCTATAAATTAGGACAAATTACTCACGTGTTGTAGGGCTTTTTCGGCCTTTTTTCCCGGCTTTCCCACTTCTTCTTGCAACGCCTTTTCCTTTAGGACCTTCTTTCTTTTTTCCGCCTCCTTTCTTCTTCTTGCTTTCCTTTTCTGTGCCTTCAGGCTTCATTTCTTCTGCCACTTCCTCTCCTTCTGTACTGTCGGTAACTTCACCTTCATCTTCCTTTTCTTCCTCCTTTTGGTCTTCTCCCTCAGTTTCCGTTTCTGTTTCCAATCCATGAGTCTCTTCTTCTACTGTGCTTTCTCCTTCTGTAGGAATATCCTCTATTTCCGGGGACTTCTTCTCTCCTTTATCCATTCCCCTTTCAACACTGCCTTCTCCCTCCTCCTCGGTCAGACATTCAGTTGCCTCTCCACTTCCGTCACTTCCTGCATCTCTCTTACCCTTCATCTTCGCCTTATCGACATACTTCCCATCTTTACCGCCATTTCCTCTTTCTTCTTTGGCTCCACTCTTCTTTCCCTTCCGTTTCCTTTTCGCTCTTGGAGATGGATGTTCTGACTTTTCTATCCCCTCTTCCGTTTCTGAGGGAGGAGATGACGGTCTCCTCGCTAAAAGAACAGAGAACGATCTACTTGAATTTCTCGCTTCAGGTTTTCATGTGACAATGCACTGGTTTCTAGAATTATTCCATGGAAGTTATAACTGTGTATTCTTTAGGTGGATTTAAAGAAGCGAGAGGAGATGCTTTATAAAAAGAATGTCCTCCCCGCTTTAAAATTAAGAACTCCCACTAAATTAACATTATCACTGTCAAATAATTCCTTACCGTTCCAAACTCAGTATTTCATTATTCCATCAGTACAGTGAAGAGTGCAACTCCTGTCAACCAGAAGGCCCTCAAGTGAATGAATTTCTAAAGGAGACTCCACAGTTTAATGAGTAACAAGAATGTTCTTATTTAACCTTACTTTCCGACCAACCTCCTGTAACCGGACGTCCCTCGCCAAAATTGTTTAATTAAGGACATGACGAATTTATGCACTGTTTCACACCCTGAGAGACGCTCCTCCGGCGAGATACCATCCCGGGACCGTCTATTTATAATTCAACTATTGTCTTCCTTAGGCTTAGGGTGTCACTATTGTCCCTAGCGTCGCCTGTTTCCTCCTAGTGTCATAAACCCATGGGCTGACGTTGTGCGAGACCGGCCGGGAGGGGATTTGGGATCCCTGCTTGTGTGCCTTGAAGACCTAAAAAAGTTTATGGGCTTTTAGAAAAATACGAATATAGGACAGATGCCAGGCTCGACCCTCGGCTTTCTCTTGTTATTTTCTTGTTTTTTTATGCCCACTGGGGGACTTGTAAAGAGAGGGCAGTTGTTTACAGGGAGCAAAGGTGGACAGTTGAAAAAGGGAGTTACAGGAGGGTAGCTGGGGAGTGGTGTGTATGGTGAGTGAGCTGGGGATAAATTGATGTACAAAGGTTAAGTGTGACGGAGCGGCTAGCTTGGAGGAATAATATAAAGATTGATCACTGTATGAAATTTTAAATTAAGACTGCAATACACGGTGTGTTCTGGAGCCCCCGGATTCATGAACCCCGAAGTGAGTTCCACTCCCATATCCGAAGCACCCGTATCCATGAGATAAAGAACTCATCTCGAGCAATAGTCGTGGCAGCTGTACGTCGGCGGGCGTCTACACTCCTTGCTATCATCTAATAGTCTCTCCCTTACTCTTTATGGTGTTCACATTTTTCCAAAAAGTTAACATCATTGGGACAGGTAGAACCGCTACACCGCAGGAACTGCATCTGTACACTACATCAAAACCTGAATATGTACACAACACGAGAAGGAAATGCGAAACAACCAACTCCGCCTTTACATGTTTAATAGGAAACTTTCTGAAAAGCAACACGGCCTAGAAAGCCACAGAAGGATCTCAACACGCAGTGCCCCACCTCAAAACATTAACACTACCACGTAAACAAATCATACGTTAAGATATGTTGCAGTTGGAAAGGCTTAGGTGTATAACAATGAATATTATTAGTCGTATTACATGGGAATTTTAACTATAATTTTAATTTTACGTGTTTTAATTTTAAATTGTTACCCGTTCAATGTTTTTTTCTGTCAAATTTAACTGTTCTAATTATCAAAGAGTATTATTGGGTTAGTGTAACAATATAGACACAATATGAATAATACTGAATAAATGACGCAACTCAGAAACTGACACCAAATATTCATGTACGCCTGAGGATGACCCACGTAAGGGTCGAAACATGTAGCGAAGTCATCAACAGCAAAATAAAGCAGATGTTGAGACGATAGTGTCTATCTTGTTTATTTTCAGAAATTGTTGTGTAGACTGCCTCAAATCATATCCTTTTGGTGATCACTGGGACAGACCACAAACTGATGTAACCCATTCAATTTTACTGCCTTCAGGTGTTCCTGGATTTTCCTTATGAGTATCCTAAAGCGAAGAGGATTTCAATAGCAATCAATGTTATAAACTTCATAATCTAGCGACCTACTTCTCTAAACTTACCCGGCTCCATCGCCAGCTTGTCTTCCTGCATAATCTTCTCATAATGTGTCTTGTACAAGAAGAACAGTCGTCTAGTGACGTCATGTGGTTCTGACAACTCCTCGTCTAAGAGAGACATCAATTTATTGCGGAGATGGCCATCTCCGTCAGCAAGCATATCCTCAAACAGCTGACCATTGATTTCGTCCATATATTTCAGGGCTTTGCCCTTTACCCATTCCATTCTGACGTCCCCCATGTTTGTTCAGTTAACTAAAACAAATTATGGTCAAATGAGATAGAATACTATCCTCTTCGAGAAAATATAATATTTTAAAAAGGTAATTTTAAAATAAATATATAAGGATTTATGACACTGTTTGATGAATTCATTATACCGGTGTCATATTTGGCATTGTCCTCTATGGGTGTAGGTGCTACTTGAGCAACACAAAGTGATAGAAGTTCTCCCATCTACAGGTGGTTAGATCTCCTTTTACTGACAAATATTTTTTAAGATCAGTGACAGCTGAAATCAAGTCATTGTTATCTGAAAATATATCGTTCATGTGTTCGAACTCTTTCCTAATTTTGTGTATATGAGATTTTCCTTTACGTGACGCCCATTCTTGAATTCGTTAGATAATAACAAAAGAGAAAGTAAGGGAAAACCCAAAGCCAAACTCCCGTGAAATTCTAAACCCATTATCCGATCACTAAACTGGAAAGACATAGGCTATAACCTGCGGATAGGAAATGCACATCAATCATATGTAAATTACTACATAACATATTCCGTTACAAGTTAACCAAAAACAAATACTTGCCCTGTTTATATCGTTTCACATATCCCCAATTAATAATAAGTACCACGAATACCGAATCACTTATGAATTTATCAACTCCCGCTGTCCGTCCAGGCAGACGCCAGGATAATACCATAATTAGGATTCGACCAATGTTATCACAGGGGCACGCGGTTGAGACACTATGACACAAGCCGGAAGGTCGCGGGTTGGAATCACGACGAGGTGGATTTTTTTTCAGTTGACCTAGTCCTTCCAGCCGCACTATGGCCCTGGGGTCGACTCAGCATCTAACAGAAATGAGTATCAGGAATCTTCTGGGGGTAAAGGGCGGCCGTCGCGTAAGGCTGACAAACTTACCGCCATCTGTGAGCCGATTGACTAGAGAAAATGTGGGAGCCTCGACGACTCACAACCCTATGGGCCATCACGGCCTGTTACAGGGATGGCTTTACCTTACCGTTTACCAGACTTACCACATCTTCCCAAAATCGTTATTCACCATCACCGTATCATTTGAGTCTATATAAACTGAGTCACTAATAGCGATGTTAAAGGAACTGCGGACGGATGGATGGACGGAGAGACGGACACACGGACATTTGCATAGACGGAGAGGCACTGTCTTCACATTGTGCATTTTATGTACCTTGTTGAGGTCAAGTAACCTATGAAGTGCAGGTGCACTAACCAGAAAGTACTTTCGAATTTAGACACATTTGTTAGTTCGAACTGAGAGCACGGCGACAGTAGAGCTCTCCATCTTACAAAAAATGTAAATTGAATCAATTATTTAGTTACAATATCAGACTTACTTAATTTGATGAACCGGAGTCTTTCAGAAACTGATAGTTGCTCAGTTGTTGAAGAAGTTCCCTGCATTTTGTGTAATCCCACAGTTTATTTCCATATACACAACATACTGCAACTGAATACTGTTCGGTGCTAGATGACTCGCATCCACTGCTTCAGTCCCTCCTTCCTTGAGATCCATTTTTATTTTAGCATCAGTACTACATCTAGGGTCCCCAAGTGATATCTTCTCTTCAGGTGTTCTAGGTAAAATCTAGCACCGCTATACATATTTCGTCTCTCCCAAATGTATATAAATATGACGACAAAGTAATATATAAGGCAACTATCTTCTACGAAACTAAGTCATAATTAAGTCTTAATAATATATCCATTTTAATAAATACGCAATGTAATTGAAGTATAACATGTTGGATTTTAGTTTCTCACAACGATCGCTGTGAAGAATGGGGTATTCTTGGTTGTAACGCTGTGCGGTTCTGGGAGAACCCGATGTTTCGGTGATTAATATCGCCTCCATCTTCGAGTCGAACAGCATGCCGAACAAGAAACCAGAAGAAGCAGGGGGAAAGTTCAGCTAAGCTTGTCGCATGTTCCTGCTAGTATCTTGCCCGACTTGCTATTCGACCCCGAAGATGGAAGCTATATATTTCTCCGAAACGTTGGGCTCTTTCCCAGTTACACAGCATTAGAACCAACAAGCTCGTAGTCTGAATTAAAATAACTTAAGCATAACGTTACATTAGTAATTTCATATTATGCGTCCTGTTGCCATTCAAGAAAATCTAAAAAATGGGACAGTCAACGCAAAAAATATCAACCAATATTGATATTATAGTACCTAGTTCGTCTCGGTTTTCAATAATTTGGTATGTTGACTGTCCCATTTATATACCTTTTCTTAAAAATATTACTTACCTTAGAGAAGAGAACTTTTATAATAATCGCGTGTGTCCTACCTTAGAGAACTACGTAATATTTGTCTTATATAGCATTAGTTTCTTTGAGAAATACAAATAGCACAGCAAGCCATTATAGAACTGCTGGTTGCTAAGATAAATAGTACATCATCGTTGGTTGCTATGGTGTAACCTAGAATGTTCGCTCCAATTTGCTTCTTATCGATCGTAGCAAACCAAATGTTACGCTTTCGAAAACAAGATGGTGTGCTTTCAGTTGTAATAAAGAACTCAATATCCGGTCTCGTGTCAACAACTTATGTAGCTTAACTGGTGATATATGTGACTAGACATAATTAAGAATGAATATGGATACCTTAGCTTGATTACGTATACGTTTATTTCGAATTTGTTGTATTCGTCATTCGCAAACGTTTTCGTTTATTGAAACTACAGATCGACTGCTCTACAACTAATCGTTTTTTTCTTCTTTTTTGAGTGTCATCAAGTAAAAACGATATTCAAAAGTAATCATACAGAAATTTCCGATATTAATGACGGGTTTGTTGAGCGACAATTACCATTTTTCTTTACGAGGAGCCTTTTGTGTATATAGAAAATTGGTAACTGTCATGAATCGAGCTTGACGTAACGTAGAAACTATATTAGAGAGAGCCGATCAGACTCGCCAGATACTTTTATTATAGACCCCAACACAAATTTACACTCTTAGTTAAAAGAAACGGTTCAAGTGTCTTAATAAATTGCACTGCATTCATGAACGGTGGGACTGGGAAATTTGTGGTTGAAAGTCTGCTTGTTGCGAAAAAAGTGCATGTGCAGATACGTACAGATAAAATTCTTTAGGTATATTAAAAATGCGCTATACATAAGAAGTCTTCAGCACCAGATTAAAAATACCGCTATTGATATCGGTTGCGAAAGGTCACGCAAGCCAAAAGTCTCCAAAACCCACTAACATATTTGGCATTACTGGGTTTTTGGGCTTCACCCATCATTTACTGTTCCAAATAGAACACAAAATTGTGTTATGTTGCGTTGTGTTGTATAATGTTGTGTGTAGTGTTGTATCGTTTTGTTATTCTATTCTCTTCAGAATACAAGAAGTCTAAGAACCTAGTACTGTCAAATGCAATATACTCCCTTCAGAACACTTTAGAACCCATACTATCTGAACTTCTCTAAATACCATATGAAAAGTATTCAAACACTTTAAATTACGACTTCATAATTACTACAAATGTCCCATACATCTTTATTGTATTACAGCTGTTATCCAGTGAGTAAAACGTCTAGAATAATCTAAATCCCATCTTTATTTTCGGAAATAAAATTTTCGTAGCGGACGAATAAATATGTTCTCCCCATTATGCGTTTTTTTATAATAATGTCGCGTGTTTGCTAGGCAACGCGACAAGAAATTGTGTGGGTTCTAGGATTTGAACTAATACCTTTATTGGAGAGCCACGTTTACACTCACACTTACAGGTTTTCTCCACTTATAGCGTCCTTGAGACGTTTCGACACTTCTGTTCTAGTCGGATAAGCACTCTTTCCTGCTAAAGTCGAAGACAGACTCTGCTGGTCTCCAAGTCAAAGTCAAAGTCCAAGTCACAGTGCGACTGACGTTCAGTCAGTCAGTAAGTCTTGGTGTCGAGCCCCGTCTGGGGCTCATGACCAGATATTTGTTACTGTTGAACGTTACGGTTTTTTTTTGTTGGGCGCCCTCTCTGACGCCGAGGACGGGTCTGTCTTATTTACATGCTGCTGGTCCTTGCCAGCGCAGTCTTTCTCGGGTCCGAGTCCCTTGGGACTCGCGACCGTATTTTACTGTCTCAGATTTGAGACTTCCCTTTTCGTCGCCTCCTATGACTCGCAGGGTCACGGTGCAGGTATTCGACCCCTCCTCCACACGGGTGGTACTCTCCCTCTGCTGGTCTCTGGCCGACGATAGACTCTTATAACGTGCACTCGGACTCAATAGGTTGAAGGATTAATTCCGCCCGCTGCTACGGAACGAACGCGGAAATACGTATCTGTCTCAACAATTCCTGTGTAACGGTGAAAACTCCACTGTTAGACTTTCATTTCGGGGCAACGATTTCCTAGGTTTCGCTGCCTAGGAATTGCTAGCCGTTGTATAGAAATGGATGCGTTCTGATTCCTAGCCGCTGTCGCGGGAATATCTGTCGTTAGCTAGGAAATCAACTCTGGTCTCCTAATCCATTCCGGCTTTCTGGCGGCACGCCCAATGTTTTTGCAAAGAGCGCACAAAAACTTTCAAGCATAAAAAGAGTTTTTCTCCAAGTCTTACGTAATATTCACAGTCTTGCTATGCACTCGATTTCTATCTAATTCAGTCCGGCTGAAACGGTGCAACTGCTTTCAGAATTGCATATGTTCTCACGACGTGTCACTGACACAGGCAATAAACTTTACATTAACAAAATTTCCTGTTTGTTCCTTATGGTACTGACGCTAAAATCCGAAGTCACTGTAAACCATTTTATTCTCCATTGATCTGCACCTCAGAATTATGCTGCTCTGCTTATAGAAACAATTGCGAATGTCAGGATTATCTTAAATTATGAGTGCCTTAGAGCAATTTTGGGGGCCGTGTTCTGTTGCATGGTTCTCTCCAGCATTCGCCTGAGAAATTAAGGATATCCTCGGGTCCAGGTTGCTTCCTGAGAGCTTAAACCTGGTTGCAAATGGCCTTAAATTCGTAATTCAAGTTGTCATCCGTCTACTAGCTTTGCGATTACCATTATAACCTATATTTCACTTTTCATTACTTTCTGTCACATTTCACAAGGATGCTCCCTCTCCAGGTTGCAGATATTTTGATATTTTCACGTGTAGGAAGGTACACGCGACGAAAATGACGGGGTTTGTTGCCCTTTATTCAACACAGGAAACTGGCGAGGATGTGTAATATTTGTATGAATCACTCTGCGATATTATGGGAGAGGGAATTTTATTAAGTGACCAGTAAATTTAATTTTTTATTTCCGAAACAACGTTTACAAGTGTAATCCTGTATCTAAGCATCCTGTTGCATTACTATATCTAAAACTGTTTATGTACTACACGGTCCGTCAATATTGCAACAAATTGTTCCTTCTTTCTTTCACATTCACTTTCGACACAACATGTTTCGGCCCTAAATGGTCATCTTCAGGTGTCAAAAATTTTACAAAATTTAAAGAAAATTGTAATGTATTTTATTTGATTTAAATTAAGTAAACTACAGCGTGCGCTAATTTAATGCATACCAATTGACTACTATTACGACGTTTTAAATCATGAAGCGAGCAGTGGCATATGTGACGAATGGACAGTATTAGTGCAGTGTAGCTTCGCTATTAGTTAAATATCAAAGTTGTAATTTTAACTCCAAATTACTCTAGAATAGAGCATTATTATCTATGAATTTCAAATTTCTCGGAGCTTCTCCACCGGAGATATGAGATGTTAAAAATGGCCGATTTGGGGCCCAGAGCAAAGTTTCAAAACTCCTGGAAGATTCTGGAAACTAGGTACGGGGTTCAACCTATGTGATTATATTCCCCATGTACGAAACAACAAAGGGTAGAAACCACAGATCTGATACTTTCCCCCTTCCATTTTTTTCTGAAGGTGAAAAATAGCGTTTTTCCCAAAATCGATAGGTAAGTTTCAAGCTCAATTACACCAAGAAGAAGTGAGTTGAGTAAAACTTTGTAATAATATGATTTCTAGTCCATATCATGAGGAACGAATTGGTTTTCCATTGGGGTCTCTAGCTCCAAAAGTTATCGAGATACAGAAGATAACGCAAACCTCCATTTGAGTCGAAAACGCGTTTTTTCGCATTATAAAAACGGCTGTGCCGGGAGAACCGAGCGGATTACATTTTTTTTAATATTTTTGCAGTTTGAAAATATGTAGAAATAAGTGTACAAAATACGAATTTTTTAAAAAATGGTGAGCGACCTCTCTGGATGACTTCACATGGAATGACCCTTTACAAGTGTATACGTATGAACACGTAATGCTTTAGGTTAAGAATGATTATAAGGAAGAAAGATTAGCAGTGACATCTACACTTGTCTTACGTTGGCGGAAGTAACGCTGTAACCAGAAACAAAGCGTCAGTAACAGGGACAGTTTCTTCTCTCTCAATTTCTGTACTTGTGAAGACATGGAGCTTAGAGGAAAATTGCAGCTTGTTGAGGTTTGTGTCGAAATGGTAGATGTTTGCTTCGAAGTTTCGATCTGCCTTAGCGATCCCAATATTGAGACTGTAATATTTCTCGGACACTGAGCAGTCCACATTATTCCACCAGTCACAAGTCAACAGCTTCTGGTTGAAGATGGACCCGTTGGGGCAGAGGAAGGCGTGATTCAGCGAGTTTCTGTAGCAGATATGGAACACCTGACAGCCACTGTCCACGTCAGCATAATAGCCTGTAAAGTGTGGTACTGTATTATTTCGGAGAATGTACATAAAATACTCCAGTTCCATTCATGTTTGGAATATTGTAAGGACTCATATAAGACACTCACATCCAGTCAGTTATGTAATTAGATTATTAAACTAAATTATTTTCTTGTTACTAACTTGTTAAATAGTTAATTATTTAGACTCTAAAGTAACCAGCTGGGTAAACTGGGTTACGGATCTGTCGGTCTCTGTAAAAAAAAAGGTAAAGTCCTTGTGCGTAACTAATTAAGCACTACGCCATGAAGGTGTATGGGGGGAGGATGTATAGAGCCTCGGAACTAGTTGGAGGTGAGTGGTCAGCTTCACGCCCCAGCCGCTTTATCGCCGGGGAAATCCCCTCCCTGTATCCATTGGCTAAGAGGCTGGGTGGACCCCAGAGCCGGTCTGGATGACGTGGAGAAGAGAAAATTCTTAACTCTACCAAGACTGGAACTCCGACCCCACAGTCATCCAGCCCGTAGCCAGTCGCTATACTGACTGCGCTATCCCGGCTCCTCACGTCCAGCCCGTAGCCAGTCGCTATACCGACTGCGCTATCGTTTCCTGTAATCTGTTTGTATCTCGTATTTGTGTGAGTGTTGGAGAAATGCAAGTGAGAGACCTGGAAGCAGAGTAATGTGCTTATTTAAACGCACAGAAATACACGTAGTCCCTGCCTTCAGTTTGAACAAAAACTTAGGAGGCTTGCAAAACACTTGTCACACACAGCAGCCAGTAGCCTGCTTACTAAGACTGGCCTAAACGAAGGCTCAGAGATTCAACGGCCTCCTCCTTGAGTACTGCAGAGCGTTCATTTACTCTCAAAGCACTCTACAGTTATGAATTTGATTTCCTCTAAGTCATTGGTACTCAGTTGTTACAAATATATAGATGTCTTAGTTCTTGTTTTATCCATCTTGTGCTGAGTATATGTGGAAAACTGGATCCCAAGAATTTGTAAAGGAGGGCAATTTCCATGAATGGCGTTGACCAAGTTACTTCGGCAAAGGATCATCTGCAGATACATAATTACGTTTGCGTTTTATTAAACATACTTCACAGGAAAATGCTTGAAATAAAGGTTCTAGATATTAATAACATATACAGCGTCATGCAGGTATACTAATTTCTGTACAATAATGTAAAGCTAGGCCGTGAAGGCCCATATGATTGTGAGACGTTGAGGCTCCCACATTTTCTAGAAAATCGGGTCACAGATGGCGGTGAAGTTGTCAGCCCTATGCGCCGGCCGCCCTTTACCCCCAAGAACATTCCTAGTACTCATTTCTGTTAGAGGCTGAGTCGGCACCATGGCCATAGTGCTGCTGGAAGGATTAGATAAATTGAAAAATCCACTTCATCGGGACTTGAACCCGCGACCTTCCGGCTTGTAGCCTAATGTCTCAACCAACTACGCTGCCACGTGCCCAATGTACAATAAGGTATTTAATAAAATATATGAAGTTCATCTGAGTTACATCTCATATGGTGACTAATTATGTGATACCAATACTGGTGCAAATTTGCATAATTCTTAGCGTAGCCTCATAATACAAAATGACAACAATAAACGCCGCTCCACAGTTTCGAAGGTGGCAAATAATAACGGACTGGCAAACATAACTCCAAATTATGCGACCATTTTATGCACTTCATGCAGAGAATCTACAGCAGTACAGCGAGCCGCAGAAGTGTCTGGCTTATGAACAATTCTGCTCTCTGAGCTAGGCTCTGCTGAATAGTACGTTTTCCAAAAATTCAGAAACGAAAAAGTGGCTGGCTCTGACACCCTATATGAAGGCGCTGACTAGACTGCCTCTACTGACCACATCTTCAGTGACTGAACTGGACTAAACAGACATACTGGCTGTCTACTGAAAGGACTGGACTGCTGCTGTCTTTGCTAACCAGAAGGGACTCGTGCAAATCCCTCTCTGAAGCGGACTGGATTGATCTAGGCAGACTCGGATGTTGAACGGGCTCTGTTAACTGGAATTCACTGGACTAACTGAACTGTCACTACTGACAGGACTGGTCTGATTGAACCGTCTCGAGTGACAGGGCTGAAACTGTCTGTCCTGTCGCGTAAATTTGACTGAATGGACTATGTCTATTAGTCGAGTGGTCTGACTTCCTTATTGTCCTGAGTGACAGGCCTTCACTGTTTACACCCGCGAGAGTGCAGGACCTGAGTGACCACTGCGTGCGCTATGTTCCACGTTCAGAAACCCACCTTCAGCCCTTCCATCACACGAAAATGCAATGTCAGGAACAGAATGTAAAACTGGATAGTCGACTCCAGACTCTCCATGAACTGCCGTCCTGATGTCCCCGCTTTCCTTTTGCGGGTGATAGCGTCCGTCATCATGTGACCTCTCTGGAGCGTCTGCAGCACCGATGTACTGCCCTTGAAGTCTCGAAGCCGGCTGGTTTGAAACTGCCAACCTTGGGTCTTCTAAGTCTGAAGTTGCGGGCTTTACCACTTCAAGATCAAGATCTGTTTTGTACAAACTGCTCAGTGGGTTACGTTGTACCAGTTCGCAAGTTTTCAGGTTTGTGCTGCTACTTGAGGAGATCTCAGAGGGCGAATTGTGTGTTAGAGGATTAGAAGGATAAGCATTCAGATATCCTTTATTAACGACGTTGGTTGTGAAAACTTGGACTGCAGAGGAGTAAGTTAGAGGGTTTGGGGCGGTAACTTTGGAGTAACCTCTCTGAATGCCTGATGTGGATGTTTCACCCGGACGAGGGTAAGTGAGAGGAAATTCAGGTGAAATTTTGGGGTAACCTGTTTGAATGGCTGATGTGGATGTTTCACCCGGACGAGGGTAAGTGAGAGGAAATTCAGGTGAAATTTTGGGGTAACCTGTTTCAATAGCTGATGTGGATGTTACGACTGGACGAGGGTAAGTGAGAGGAATTTTAGGTGTAATTTTGGGGTAACCTGTTTGAATGGCTGATGTGGATGTTTCGACTGGACGAGGGTAAGTGAGAGGAATTTTAGGTGTAATTTTGGGGTAACCTGTTTGAATGGCTGATGTGGATGTTTCGACTGGACGAGGGTAAGTGAGAGGAACTTCAGGTGTAATTTTGGGGTAACCTGTTTTAGTGACTGATGTGGATGTTTCGACAGGACGAGGGTAAGTGAGAGGAATTTTAGGTGTAATTTTGGGGTAACCTGTCTGAATGGCTGATGTGGATGTTTCGACTGGACGATGGTAAGTGAAAGGAGCTTCAGGTGTAATTTTGGGGTAACCTGTTTCAGTGGCTGATGTGGATGTTTCGACAGGACGAGGGTAAGTGAGAGGAATTTTAGGTGTAATTTTGGGGTAAGCTGTTTGAATAGCTGATGTGGACGTTTCGACTGGACGATGGTAAGTGAGAGGTACTTCAGGTGTAATTTGGGGGTAACCTGTCTGAATGATGGATGTGGGTGTTTCTGTTCGAGGAGGATAAGTCAAGGGGTTCTCTGGTGTAACTGCTGGGTACCCCTGAACTTCTACAGGTACATGGACTCGAAGAATCGTATCGCTGGCAGTCTTCGTCTGCAGAATAGATGCCGCTAAGATACCTGTAAAATGTAGCAGAAACCATATTATTAAACCCTCTGTACGAAATACGAAATATATGTGAATATTCTGTTAAACCGCGAATTCGGGTATTCCTTCCTAATGTATAGGAATACTTCAATGGAAGAGATGTCTGCGGAAACTGTAGTTATTGGTAGAAACCGCCAAATTTCCCCGTCGAATCTTCAAGAAATATCATGCGAAACCTTAAGAAAGTGCTCAAAAGTGTAATTTTATTTGTATATCTGGGGGCACATGGTAGCGCAGTTGGTTTAGGTACTATGCTACAAGCTGAAAGGTCGCGGGTTCAAATCCCGCTGATGTCATTGGATTTTTTCAATTGACCTAATCCTTCCAGCCGCACTATGGCCCTGGGTTCGACTCATCCTCTAACAGAAATGAGTACCAGGAATCTTCCTGGGGCGTAAAGGGCGGCCAACGAGTAAGGCTGACAACCTCACCGCCATCTGTGAGCCGACTAGCTAGAAGATGTGGAAGCCTCGACGTCTCACAACTATATGGGCCTCCATGGCCTGTTACAGGGATAGCTTTACATTTATACTTTTTACATGTATATTTGGGTGGCCTTTGTGTTCATGTATTGCTGCTATAAACATTGTAGCGAGTCTGCCTGCCTCTCTGGGGCCTTCTGTAATGATGATAGAAATACAGTGTACCAGTTAATTAAAGTTGCACCCTGTTTGATTGAACTTATAAACGATCGTTGTATGCCGTCATACAAACCTTTATCAGTTCAAGGACATGTTTAGGCAGTATAGTATTATCTTCAGGTTGAAGTTATATATGAAATTGTTCAAAATTATATTTAGCCCATAAGCTTATCAAAGTTATTGTATAAATGTACGTTCTCGGGCCGGATATGTGTTACAAAGAAAACTATATGAATTCATCTGTTGAATAACAGTATGGCATATATATAATATATGAGGTTTAGGCGAGTCGTATTAAACCAATATAATCAGACCGTTGAACTCTTCTGATAGACAGAAAAAATTAACTGTTTTCTCGTGCAAGTGGGTACAAGATAATACAATCTGCAAATATAAATCACTCCGTCCAATGTGACCTGTAAGTTTTTTACTACATGAAAACTTAACACCCTTACATGTTTCGGTCTCTGTGGACCATCTTCAGAGGGCAAACATCACTACAAATAGGAAACCACCATCACATAAGTTGTTTAGACGTAAAGTACATACACTTATATGCTACAATGCATAGTACACAAAATAGAACATTTCACAAACACAGCAGTTTCCTGGGAATGTAAAGTTTTTTAAAAAAATATATACAATTTCTTGATGCTAATTAAAATTTTTTTTGTATTGTCAATAATTAAAATTCGTAAACCATGCAGGCTCGTGTTCGTCCTCCCATCGTCCCTCTTATATGGGGCAGATATTGTGCCACCTGGCTCTCTTCATGTGGAGGGTCTTTACCTTAATACAGTTTGTTTTCGAATGGTCTCTAATGCGTTTCTTATTGATATATACGAGTACTAGCGCTAAACATATGACTTTATGGTCAAAGTCTTGCCAGTGTTTACGCTTTACGTAGAAGTGCTCTGAGTCAGCAGCTTTCGCCAGCGAACTTATACAACCGCTGATAGCTTCGAGACAGGTTACAGCACTTGCGGATCTTATTATTACATTGAGAGATGTCTGAAAGACTCTGTGTGGAGTTCCTACTCTCAGGCTTCCTGGACTAGAGTATGGCTGGTGGAAACGGTTGTGCATGTGGATACATCCTTAATTATAAATACTCTGTGAACAGTTGTGGTAGTTCTTGAACAATTTTGTGTATAACTCCCAATTTATGATGGCTTTATAAGATGAAATATATCGTGTAAGTAGCTACATCTCTTCCAAACAAAGGCATGTGTGAGGTGGTGTACTGCGATCAATTAACAAGTTATCTCACAATAGTTTTAAAAAGTTGTATTTTTTCGAAGACTAAACCACTAAACCAGTACCCCTGGTTGTAACATACTCATTCAGATATAGACTGAAGACATTAGCAAAAGATGGACTTGCTCCCTGGTTTAGAAAGCGTTCTTTGTGTGAACTTCTCTCATACGAAACAAGTTCTCTCCCTTCCCCAAGGTTCCTACAGGTCAGGGCCAAATATTGCATCCCGTGTATTCTCCTAAGTACAACGCATTTGCCTATAGACTTCACAGAGAAACTAAACTCTGCAGATATGACAAAGTTCAAAGTTCATGGAACCCAATAAAAATTAATATTAAATCGTTAATTAAGGAAATTAAGAAAAAATGAGGTATAGAAATACAACTATCATTCACATCAGAGTCGTCTTATATAAGGTTAACATATGGCTAAATAAAAACCGAACTATAATTTTACATGTTTATATGGTTATATAGTAATCTAGTGAAATGTCTGTGAAGTGCCTGGATAAACAAGTGCAAGAAAATTATAAATTCCCTTATTCTATACAGACATTTAGGCAGGTATGAAGTGAATAAGAAAGAAAAGAGAAAGTTTAAGATGAAAATTGTGATGTAAATGATGATTCTTGGGTTACTTAACGCCCCCCAAAGGTGTCTCCACCGTGTCGTGGTGGTGGGGCTTGCGTGACTCTGTGACCTGGAGAGCTATGCCGGCGGTAGGGTCACATGCCAGAAATGTCAAATGGTAGAGTGCAGACTAAGAGAGATACCCTGGTCCTCCAGGTTGGGGGTTGGGCACGAGGCTAACAACTTCATCCTGTAAAAAGAATTTTGTACAGAAACCTAGCAACCAGCCTCGGGTCATCATGCGTGGATCCATTCCTATGGCAGCACGCACTGGTTGTGGAGACTGGTTGTAGAGGAGACCAAGGCTCACGCAGGGCTGTAGCGCCAAGGGTTAGGTAGGTAGGTACGTAGGTAGGTTATTTAAGGACTCTTTATTATTATTGTTAGTGGGATGAGACTGAATCCACTTGGTACTGCAGCCACTACTGGCCTATGGTACCAGCCCCAGATGATAGATGCAGGTGATTGTGGAGCAATTGGTGGAATGAAAATTGGCGGAGGAAACCGAAGTACTCGGAGAAAACCTGCCCCAGCGCCACTTCGTCCACCACAAATCCCACATGACCAGACCCGAGCTCGAACACGGGCCGCAGCGGTGAGAAACCAGCGACTAACCACCTGAGCTATGGCACGGCCCTATTTAACGACTCGGTTTCATCTGAAGAGGTTTCCACAGCATCGAATGATAGGCCAATATGAAGATGGCCATAGATGAAGCAATAATTAAAAAATAATATTCCACTACCTCTGCAGTAACACAAACAGACAGAGGAAAACAACAAATAGTATATCAGGACAGGACAGGCGACAATACGGCAGGGATCCGAACGGAGTACTTCCAAGTTACGCAGCAATGCCTGCCCGCTGAAATGCAACAGAACGCTTGATTCGAAAATTGCATTTGAACCGCCACAGGAACTGTGCTCCTGCCAGTTAGTGGAACAAGAGTGTGAATATAGGGGAACCCCCTGAAGAATGCACTTGCTTACTTACTCATGGAGCTGAACCCTTCTGGAGGAGCCGCCAATTCTGCAGCTACTCAAGAACCTCCCAGCATTTTATGGAACCCGAAGGTTCATTACCGTGTTCACAAGAGCCTTCCACTGGTCCCTATTCTGGGCCAGATCTATCCAATCCATACCATCCCATCCTATCTCTCTAAGATCCATTCTAATATTGTACACCCACTTACGCCTTGATCTTCCCTGTGGTCTCTTTCATTCTGGCTTTCCCACCAATATCCTATACACATTCCTCGTCTCCCCCATTCGTGCTACATGACCTGCCCACCTCACCCTCCTTGACTTGATCATTCTAATTATACTTGGAGAAGAGTACAAATTATGAAGCTCCTCATTATGCAGTTCTTTCCAACCTCCTATCACTTCATCCCTCTTCGGTCCAAATATTCTCCTCAACACCCTGTTCTCAAACACCCTCAGTCTATGTTCCTCCCTTAATATCAGAGATCAAGTTTCACACCCATACAGAACCACAGGCAAAATTGTAGTTTTGTATATTCTAATTTTTATGTTTTTGGACAACAGACATGAAGAGTGCACACATTTCCAAATTCGTTCTTTGCTATTTCGCACACAACACTGACCTCGAATTTCATTTAGGCCTATGTATCTACTCTTGCAGATTTAAAAACAAAACATAAGCCTACATCACCACCACAGAGACTCAGAAGTGGTTCCTCCTTGAAATGTCTTCATTTTTCCATACTAAAATGTTTCAAATTAAAGTTTGCTTCTTTTTTTTTTTTTCAATGGCTCCTCCAGCCCGTTCAGGGCCCAGGCCTCTTATTAAGTCCGTAATAATTTTTCTCAGACGGTAGGACTCCTTGGACGAGTGATCAGCCAGTCGCAAGGCCCCTACCTGAACACAGGACAACACAAACAGAACAAACGCATACACACCCTAAACATCCATGCCTTGAGTGGGATTCGAACCTATGATCCCAGCGGGAAAAAACAGTTAATGCCCCACACCGCGTGGCTACTGTGACCAGCTTCAAATTAAAGTAGGGTGCATTAGTAAGACCTCCATTTTAGGCCATGCAACAATATTTTGTAAAATTAGCGGCTTTTGATAAAAACTGTAAAGTTAGATTTGAAGTAGTTAAAAATTCGGGGTTATACTGAATCAATAAGAACGAAAAATAATTTCGCATGATATTCAGTATAGCCCTCATATCAAATTTTATCTATACCCGTTCAGCAGTTTTGGTGATGTGACATGTTGACAGGGAAATGCCGATGCGACATTCCTTTTATGCGTTCATTTATGCACTTCGAAGAAAGGAGCGCATTCAGCAGAGCGGTGTCCGCACGGTATGTTTCCTGAGAGCACTCACCAAACACAAGAATTGCACTCCACATGCTGCACACGGTGTCTTCACAGCACATTCACGCCTGTTCCACTGAAGTGTAACATTTTCGCTTCTTCATTCATGAGCGGGCATCTTTAGCCTCATCTTCCTTCTCCCCACCCATGTCAAAGATTCAAAACATTCCAGACACGAACGTCTTTAACTTTGCAGCGGCGGCTTGTATCAGTGGGCATCAGCGCACATTTCTATTATTCCGCCGTTCATATTATTATTATTATTATTATTATTATTATTATTGTCACGTGTATATGTGTGACTATCGACGGGGTTTGTATTGGAGACTGGATTTACTGACCACGTGAACACACGACTCGTGGCTACACTTAATTATAGCGCCATCATTGATATCCACACTTTACAAATCACTACAGCACACGCTAAGCCTTTCCAGTCTGCTATGTCTTCACCAGTCGTTCCCTGGTAACTGCTTCTAACAGTGGAGATTCTTCAGCTTCCGCGCTCACTTCATTGCCCGCTGCCTCTCAATTGCACCAAGTCTTCTCCTCACAAGCTTCCTTACAACTTTCTCTGTCTTCTTGCTCCAACTGTCCTCCTTATAACTTCTCGCACAACAGCATAGACGACACCGTTCATTGTTGTACTCCAATCGTTTCCGTGGGAACATGTTTGTTTGCGAAGGCGTTACTCAGTATTGGCTGCGCATACTTGCATATTAAGAATATGTTGCCTAGCAGCGAATGTTGTTTCGTTGTTTGTTTCGAGGTCGTTGCTCACTAATGGATATACACGCTACCTTATTATTATTATTATTATTATTATTATTACTGTCCTTTTTCGCCACATAATGGAATAACCATTCGAAATGTACTTATTTTATTTTTCTCACTTTAATTTTTCTTGGAATTATTATTAATTTATTGCCATTATATAGATTGTCTTATTTTGTATTTTTAACATCCTTGTATTTGATTTGTTTCATTCTGGTCCGTCACGCTATTAAGTTTACAATTAAGTTTATTTCAGTCCAATGTGACG